ACTAAACCTTTTTGGCTAGAGTTATTATGGTTGCATAGCCTACCTGTGTACCAGTAAATCTTTACTGACTTATAATTTAGTTTCAGTTTCCTAAAAGAGTCATACCTGTTGATATTCATTGAAATTACTTATTACTACGTTTGTGTGCAGCGGAATTACGATATGTCTCTCCCACATAACAAAATCCCTGAACCACTGTGTGAACTTGCCAAACAATTGGCCAAGCCTGCTTTACCTGCTGGTGTTGAATTCAGACCTGAAGCTGCAATTGTGAATTACTTTGGTTCAGGTATAACTTAAAGGACATATTTATTATGAATTCAGACTTGTAATAGTTCCCCGAGTCCTTTTCTACACCTTTTAATTTACTCTGATACTATGGCTACTGCCAACAAAAAAATTCTTCATACCATTGGTAAGCGAGAAATTGTTGTTTTCTTGGATCAGCAGATATTTTCCAGTTCATGAGAAGGAAAAAAAAAACATTTTTAACAATTTTTTAGAACAGTCTGCTTCATATTTGTTTTTTATTTGGTATTATTCCAGGGGACACGCTGGGTGGTCACCTTGATGACATGGAAGCAGATTGGAGCAAGCCTATAGTTAGTTTAAGGTCTTATTCTACGTTCTTTTGAATGTTCTGTTTTGTGGTTAACTTGTTTTTGCATCCTAATTCGTTTGCTGCCCCCCTTGGTTAGTCTGTGTTGCAAGGCTATATTTCTTTTGGGAGGAAAATCCAGAGAGGATACTCCTCTGGCAATGTTCCTTCGAAGTGGCGATGTGGTTCTTATGGCTGGAGATGCAAGGGAATGCTTTCATGGTAACCATCTCCTATGAACTTAGTTTGTGAAATATTAAGGGTGTGTTTGAATTGACATTGAGTTTATGAGAGACTCCTTCATGTTGAATGTGCATCATAATGTGTATTTAAAGTAAAACAAACACGTACTCGATCAAAGTGGTTCATATGATCATTTGAAATTTTAAAATTAAGTGATTGGTTTCACTTGAATAAAGTTTATCGCTGGGAATGAACATGTGTAATTTATGACTGAGTTATTATGCTGACTTGTGCAGTTTCAAAATTTTGTCTAACTACTGGGAATTGGTTTCATCAATATCGCAGGGGTTCCTCGAATCTTCACAGATGAAGAAAATGCTGAAATAGGCCATCTCGAGACACGGTTGACGCATGAAGATGATCTTTGTTTCTTAAAATACATCCAAACTTCTAGAATCAACATTAATATCAGACAAGTTTTTTGAGTAGTCTTTTCTTTCAAAGAGAAAAATTGTTGTATCAGGTCATGAAACAAAATATGATTTATTAGTTATATTTTAAGGGATTGTTGCTTCGTATCAATTTTAGTCTTGTCCACCAAAGCCCTGTTTGCTCATGTTCTTTCCCTTGATTTATTTATTTCCTCATTTTTTAGTCTAAGGACTTGGGTGTTAAGTTAAGGTAACACTTAATGATAAATATTAACTTTTTAACATGTTTGGAATTCTTGATGCTTCAGCCTAGTATCTTAGGATGACTATTATAATGTTTTTTATTCAACACACATGTTATCTTAAACTGTTTTACTTCATTCGGATTCACAATAATTTTTTTAACGTAAATTAATATGTGAAAATTTATTTAAAAGTATATTAATTTCTTTTGAATGTGATTTTAAAGAATTCAACATGCTATAAGTAATAGATATTTTACATTGCTTCTTAAGAAACTTTATGTTTTCTAATCACTAAAACTATTAGGCTGGGATTGAATTTGAAATGTACCAAAAGCAAAAGCTATTTTTTACAAAATTTTAACAAATTTTGTTGAGAGTGGGATTTGAACCCACGCCCTTTCGGACCAGAACCTTAATCTGGCGCCTTAGACCAACTCGGCCATCTCAACTTTTTGATAAGCTATCATATTTATAATATAATAAACTCACTACAGTTTTAATCCCAGTTAATTAAATTTTAATGCAAGCACCCTTCAATAACCAATGGTTTAAACCCTCTTTTGTTCCTCATATTTGTTGGTGAATCTCAAGTGGGTCATCGTTTTTTAAATTGTCAAAATTGCGTCCATATTTTAAAATGGCGTGGTATTATGTATTAAATTAATGGGTTATGTGTTCTATCTTTATTTGTCTCCCGGCTTCTTCTCTGTCTCTGGCGCCAATTTCTTCTTCTCAATTCTTTCTTCTCAGTTCAATCTTTATTTCTCACAATCAAATTTTCCACTATGGCTCCAATCCCTTATTCCAAACAAAACTTCCCCACCCAGATGAAGACTCCACAGTCCAAGCTCCGTTTCAATTTCCATGGCCCCAAATCAGCACTGCAAATGCACCCTTTTCCCAACTCAAATTGTGCTGCAAACAAGGAACCCCCTCTTGAACACCCAATTGAAGTAGTTTCCAGAATCCGTGACTACCCAGATCGAAAGGATAAGCCTTTATTTATTCTTCAAACCAGTTCCAACTCGAGTTCTATCCGTGTTCGAGCTGATTTTGGGTACCGGATTTTGGGTACCGGGATTTCACCCTTGATGGGGTTTCTATGTCTGAGGAAGAGGACCTGGATGTGTCCTATAAAAAGTTTGTGGAGTCGAGGATCAATGAAGTTAAGCTTGGGGACAAGTGCACCATCATGATGTATGGACCAACCGGTTTTGGGAAGAGTCACAGGCGTTGGTGCCGTTATCGCCACCGCAGACGGCGCGCTCAAGCGACAAGCTAACGTGAGACTCGTTAAAAGTCGCTGATGGAGTTTATTTTGCTTCTGCTATTGTTCAGGTCGTTGGGTGAAGATGAAGCGAGGTTGAACACGCCCATTATGATTTCGTTTAACGAAGGTATAAGAGAGGTTTCAGCTGTGCAGAATATAACCAACAAACAGATCACATCTTATTGTTTGGATGTGGATTACTCTGGATTTTATGAATTCTTCATCCTGGTGAAAGTATTTATATTCTTGAACTTAATATGGAATGATCGAATACACAATGGAAGGAGGTGCAAGAAAAAAGATAATCTTTTTTTCTGGTTGGGTCAAAAGACGATGGTGGATCCGACGAGCTTAACAGTGGAAGGTTGTGGCTTAACAGTGTTGATGGTTATGTAGCACGGTGGTGGTTTGGGCGAGGATGGTGGCGGGCATGGCTAATGATGGCTAGGGTTTCTATGGAGAAGACTAATGTGGAATTAACACATAATTCATTCAATTTAATACGCAGTGCCACACCATTTAAAAAAAAAAGACAGCTCAACATCTCTTAACGTTGTTTATTAAAACTTAACGGAAGGGACAAAATTGGCTCAATTTTACAAATATATGGACCCAATTTTGACAGTTTAAAAAGCGATGACCCACTTGATATTTACCAAATATAAACACTGGTTTAAACCATAACCAATAATCCAATAACAGCTTATGCATGATAAATCATAAGTTTCTGCTAAGTGTTTTAACCTTTTACAAGACATGAATATTGAAATCGAAATCAACACCTTCGCCTTAAAAAATAATGTATATTTTTATAAAAATATTTTAGAAAAATATTTTCACCATTAGTCACGATATTGAAGAAAAAAAGTCAGCTTTGATCACATATATCTGTTGTGCGGGTTTAGAATTTTGGATAAGCAATTTATAAAAGGTTTAATGTCTCAATAGGTCCCTATTTTTGTTCAGAATTTGAAATAGGTCCCTTTATTTTTTGGCGTCTCAATTGGGTCCTTATTTTTGTTAATTTGATGCAAATAAATCCTTTCCGTCAAATTCATCAAACGGCGTTAATGAATGTGTGACGTGACCTGAGGACAGTATTGACACGTGTAAGGCCACGTCACACATTCATTAACGCCGTTTGATGAAATTGACTGAAAGGATTTATTTGCATCAAATTAACAAAATAAGGACCCAATTGAGACGCCAAAAAATAAAGGGACCTATTTCAAATTCTGAACAAAAATAGGACCTATTGAGACATTAAACCTTTATAAAACAATTGAACATAAATTTAATAATTTATCTTTTTTGTGACACGAATAAAATGGTCCCAGATTTTATCCATTATTTTGTTCCTTTCTTCTTCCTGTTTCAACATCTCAATATTATGCCAAGCTGAAAAAAAGTCTTAATGAAGGGTTTCAAAGTAATATTTTTTTAATATGATGCATGGGAGAAAATAAGAACGATTTAATCTTACAAATTAAAAGTATTGGTATTTTTAAATATTTTCGATAATTTAATTCAGTAAATATATATGTTCCAACTTATTGATAACAAAATCCTAATTACTAAACTAGATAACAGTTATAAACATAACTTCTTTTTATTATTATTAACATATTCTATAACCCTTTTAATAAAATATGGATAATATCATCCAGATATATATCCCACTCATGCCGATGATGAAAATTAAGGAAATATGTATGAAAATACTCCTATCTTATCGAATAAGTTTTAAAGTAATTATTTATATAAATAATTTTTATTTTTAATTTATTTGCAAGTATATATATATATATATATATATATATATATATATATATATATATATATATATATATATATATATATATAATATGGTAACTTAATTATCAATACTTAAGTAAGTTAAATTTAAATATTAATTAAAGATTGAAAGCAAACAAAAGTTTCATTTTAGCCCATCATTTTAAATTACGATTTGAACTTTCAGCATAAACCCGAATTAATAATTAATAATTTATATACTGAAATGTAAACTGTATTGACCTTCTACAAAACTAAAGTTAAAACACTAATCAGATAAAAAAAAACATAATGAAAAAAAAAACTAAAAAATGCAATTAAATAAGAAATTTATTTATTTGGAATGAGAAAGCGGAATGAAAGAGAAAAACGTCCTAAGAAAACTCCAAAAACGAAAGCTTGTGGCAGCCACCAAAAGCAGTGTCGTCAACGTGTACAATTCCACAACCACTTTCTTTATTTATTTACGTATTTTTTTCTCTTCACACCTTATTCCTCACTCCACACACCCATCATAAAATCTTTCTCTTCAATTTCTCTCTCTTCATATCTCTCCACCAAAAGCCATGGGTCCGGTGGTGCTCAGCCAACTAGCCACCGGTCTGAGCGTGCTGGCCGGAGCGGTCATCGTCAAGTCGGTCATGGACCAGAAGCCCATGGCCGGCCCATTCACTCGCTGCCCCACCTGCAACGGAACCGGTCGAGTAACCTGCCTCTGTTCGCGTTGGTCCGACGGCGATGTCGGATGCTCCACGTGTTCCGGCTCGGGTCGCATGGCCTGCAGCAGTTGCGGCGGCTCCGGCACCGGTCGACCCTTGCCGGCAAAAATCGTGATTCGCCCTCCCAGCCGTCCCTCTTAATTCCCCCACCTCTGCTTTTAGCGTTAGTATAACATTTTAATATAATATAATAGAATCTCTCTCTCTATATATATACCTTTTTCAATTTTATTTCATCTCAATCAATTGCCGTGTACCTATTACTGTTATTATTTGCTCACAATTACCATGTAATATAAAGTGCACGTTGACACTTGTAATCAACAGAGAGCTCAGATTATTAGTATTCCTGTAATTCTCAGATTCTTCTTTTCTTGTTTGCTCTAACTCTTGCTGAATTCAAGAATTCTGCCGTCTGTTCAATACCATGTTGCTTTGCTCCTTCATCGTCTTGTTGAATTTGAGCACGTGCTTGTAATATGAATGAATTTCGGAGAATCTTGAGATATAATGAACTGTTATTGTTATTCTAGATTAAATGAATGGCTTTTAAGAACCATATAAGCTTTTAGGGTTTTTGTTTTTACTTTAAAAATCTGGTTTCCTGAATCATTGCATTTGAATTGTTGGGTGTCAGTCGCAGTGTTTGCTGCAAGATTGTTGACTGGGTGAATTCGGATGTGTTCGACGCAAAATGGCTTTGGAATTATCTATCACTATGCTTGACCCGATCAACTTGGACCGAGTTTCAGGGGATTGGTGGTTTTTAAATTAAACAATGCCAAACCGCCATTTTTTTATTTCTAGATTTGATTACAAGAATTGTGCATGACTTTTGATCAGTGCCAAAACATAAATTTGGACGGGTACGATGGTAAAGCTAATGAATAAGTTAACTCTTAGGAGAAAAGTTAGTTCAAGAACTCATCAGTGAGATGTTAGAAGATGATGATTGAAAGTCTTTCTCTGTCATTAGATTAGATGGAAGGAACAATTGAGATTTTGGATTGTTTAGTTTCTTAGTGCGTCTTTGTTATATAGTGAAATGTACTGTAATTTTGTGCATTTTAGCTGGCTTCCAAGCTTGGACGGAGCAACTAATCAGATCAAGTGTTTAATATTCTTTTGTGTTTTCTGGTGGGGTGCCAAGTCTCACTCCATAAGTGGTGGAACAGTCAAAGGAAAAAGATCTATGATTATGTTATGTTATATATATATATATATATATATATATATATCTTAGTGCTATCTTATTTCACAGATAGGTAATCAATTCCACTTATCGTAGCATCTACTGTTTCCCGGACTCTGTTCTTCTGGAAGAATTGAATGAAGGGAAAAAACGAAGTTTTGAAACATGATCACGGTTTGGGGTCGAGATTAAGTCTTCATGTACGAATTGTCTTCTAACTCTCGAAGCTTAGGTCATAATTTTCTCTTTAAATATCCTTATACTATTCGGTTAACTTGGATATCACTTGCACAAAACACTCTCGTCTAAATAATTGGATAACAAATACGTTGTAAAAGTAATCTGAATATTATAGAATTCCAAACCCATATACCAGTTGTTTAGGTGCAAGGTGGCCGACCTATCCGTGACTAACCCCACAGTCATATAATATAATCATCTAAATTTTTAAGATCTAAACTTTTAAAATTCTAAGCTAAAACTGAGATATCTAATGATGCTTTGATTTGGTCTAATTAAATCATGGTGGCTAACATAAGAATAACACAAGCACGTGGTCAAAGACTCAAATATGTAGTCCAAAGTAATTGGTCAACTTCAACTGCTGCACACCGGTAAGACCTTCAAATCTCACTACAGAACCTCCTTCTTAGTTGAACCACCCTGCTAAAATATTTTAAAAAGAGGTTATTTTTAGCGTTTATGGTCGCTTTCTCACTTACCCGTTTACACCAACAAGATCCAAAACACCAGAAATTTCACTCCCTCTAACTCGACATAAAAATATATGTTCATCGTATGAATTTGGCGCGAGTCAATTTGACCTAGAATTTTCCCAACGTGTCTATTTATTGTCAGTTGTTATTAAAACGTGTGAACAGTGTTCAGGAAATCGATCGTGCACGTTTGATGTGTGTTTTAATTCCTCTTGAGATCCTCCCCAGTTGACTTGTATTATGTTAATGATATTACTAATGCATGCTGTTGCGTAATGCAATACTTAAAAACAATGAAGTTGTTCACGTTGTTCTTTAATTTTCATGAGTTGTATTGTTTTTCCTTAAATTATTCTTTTCCGCACGATGAGCATTTGATTAATGTGGAGTCTCCCTCCGATGAAGTCTATGTAGACCGAATTTGCAGCAAAACGGTGGCGCCAGAAGGATCTGGTAGCTGGAGATGCAGAACCAGTATATTATTATATGTACTTTTATATTTGTTAGAGCCATGAATAACAAACTATTTTGGAAATTACTAAGAAAAAATAATAATTCAATGAATCAATATCTCTAATTTACAGTCAACTCTAACAAAGCCTTTTTTTTCTTATTTTTAACCTTTTATTATTATTTTTTTTTCTTCGTTTTTTATTCTTGTCGTCTTAGAGAAGTAATTACTCCACTCATTGACTTTCTCTTGTTCAAGTGTAAGTTGGACTAGTTACTATTTTTCATTTTATTTCAATGAAAAGAAATAATAATAATGATACTTGAATCCACACAAAATTTTTATATTTATTTCACATTACTTTTTATTACATTTTTAAAAAATATATATATAAAAATTCAACATATTTTACTCTTATTCTTATATTATGTGTGAAATAAGTATAAATATATGTCATCTTACCATTATTAAAAAAAACGAAGGATTCATTAACCCATATAGAATTAAGTTGATTCCTTCAATTAAGAAACTGAATATCAACCCCAATTTGATAGTTTTTGTTTAAATAAACTTCTTTACAAAAAATTCATGAATGAAGAAACGAGAAGAAAATATGAATTTAAATTCTAATAAATTAAATCATGGATAAACTAATTCTTTGGCTTAATAATTTCAACAGAGAAAGATAATTTAAAAAAATAAACGGGAAATGTGAAAATTAGCGAAGGGAAACAATTTATATAAATTTTTCAAAAAAGGGAAAGTGTGAAAATTAGCTAGGGGAAACAATTTATATTTTTGTTTTATTCATATTTTATTTTGGGTCGATTTGAATATTGCCCACATTGTACTGTTCATGCACCGCAAACACGCTATCGGGCCTTACTACTTATAGCCCTCAACCAAACCATGGGACAACAAGTTAGTCGGAATTTCTTAATGCACTTCCGTAATTTCAATCTGCACCCCCAAAAACTAAACAATAAAAAATTATCCTTTGGTTTAGAATTTCTGTTTCATTGGATAATTTGGAGACGATCGGATTGCGTAATTTAGAGACGTTCTAGAATGTATAATTTAAAATCCAAACTAAAAAATATTTAAGATTGTATAATCTAAAATACAAAATAAAAAAGCATTATAAATTATAAAATACGAATGTATTTTTTAAAAAGTTAATATGTAAAGGGATACTTTTGACATTTTCTACACCTTATGGAGGTGTAAGAGGGAACTGTAGGAAGAAAGACCCCAAGTAGGTGGGTCGCGGGTAGGGATTAAGAATAGAAGGTTTGTTTGTAATATGAGTAAGAAAAATAGTGGTGCAAGAAGAAATTAATGGGTGCAGGAAGCAATTGAAAACGAACAGTTAAACATTGTTGTTTTTCCTTTTTTTGATGTTACCTAAAGTTCTTAGTGATCGACCTTTTTGGCATCTTTATTTTGATTGAACCGAAATCAGTGATTTGGTACCTAAAAAAACGAAATAGACCCTACAATTGCAGGAACCTTAAGGCCAATCTTTATTGATAAATTACGTAAAGACAAGGAAGAAGTAAAAAGTGGGATTAAACCTCTGAAATTTTTGTTTTTCTAAGTATCCTTCTTAATGAATAAATTAAAAAAATAGGGAATGTGGTAAAGATGTGGCACAATCTCATTCTTATCTTGATGTCTGAGGCAAAATCATAGCTTCCATTTTCAACACTATAAAGATAAAACAGCAGGCCCACACCTTCTTTCTCTCCTGTCCCATTCAACCCTCAAATCACTATGTTCTTCATTTTCCTTGCATTTATAAACAAGACAAAAAAAAAATAATCTCTCAAAATGTCTTGTAATTTAGTTTCTTTGCTACATTCGAAATTTAGTTTTTTTTTAGTTAAAAGTTGTTAAAAATATTTGAATTTCTTTTTACTTGTTTAAACAAAAAATATTGATCTTTGAAATATGAATTATTTGTATTGTATTGTACGGATATCCGTCAGATCAATGGACTGAACCCGTAATCAGTTAACAAATCAGTAACTGACCGGTAAAGATAGTCGTTTAGGTAATTCAAGGGTAATCAATAAAAATAAGAGTCATTGATGGACACTTAATGAAACAATGAAAGCTAGTTATTGGTAATGGGTCAGACTTAAGAGTAAGTTCATTTTAAATATGTGTTTGACAAGAGGTACCTTTCCTTTGACATGTACCCTCCCACGGTTTGAACAAGGAAGAGAGAGAGCGAGCAGCGCAACTTAGATAATGGAAGACTATCAGGAAGTCCATCCGATCTACATAACCGTTTGAAATGCTTTGAGTGAGGAACCTAAACACCTTGCCCCAAAACACGTATATAAGATTTACTATAACTTCTAAATAAACTTCAATAGAGTGATAAAACTTAATGATGACAAGATAAGACTTTGGTTCTTTCAAATTTTTTATATTTATATAATTTAAAATATTTTTTTAAACTTTAATATATTTTATATATTTGACATTCAAAAACTTTTATACATTTATATAAAAAAAAATTGATATTCTTAACATATGTAATGAAAATCCGTTTTTTCATAAGTGAGGTTGATTTTACTATGACTATAATATCACTGTTAAAAATTAATCATATTTTATGTATAAGATATCTAAAAAAGAGACTTAACACTAATTTTAATATAAAACCTAAAAGTTTAATGTTTTAAACCTGATTTTTGTTATATATTACTTAATTTTTTTATTTATTCAATATCAAACTTTCAAGTCTTACTTAGAATTTTAACTAATATGAGTTTTTAAAGATATATTATATTTTGTATGAATCCTTTCAAAACTGTACATATTTTTTAAAAAGGAAAGTATAAAAAAGTTAATAGAGTATATTTGGGTATGTTTCTTTTACAATAAGACTGATAAATATCAAATGTTGTATTTAGTGAGATTCAATGTGTTTTGTCCTCACTCGCACACTTTCTAGGAAAACTTTCCAGAAGATCACC